AATCCTAATTTTCCGTTTTCTCACCCACTGAACACCTAAGCAAATCTCGCAAAGTACGATTTATAACCTCAGTTTGTCTATCAGTTTAGGGATTAAAGATAGAGAAACACAAAAGGCTAGTCTCAAAGAGCTTCCAAAGTGTCTTCCAAAAATAACTCAAACTTGATATCCCTATCAGACAAAATAGAAATAGGTCACCCATGTAGTTGAAAGACCTCTCTAAAGAACAACTTTGCCACATGGGAGGCATTAGTAGACTTAATACAAGGAATGAAATAAGTCATCTTAAAAAATTGATCCACGAAAACTAGAATAGAATCATGACCATGGCTGTTTTAGGCAATCGTAAGATAAAATCCATACTAAGGTCTCTCCATGGTGTGTGTGGAACAAATAATGGTGTGTACAACCCAGAGTTTTATTTCCTAGTCATTGCTAACTGACAAGTGCAACACGGAGAGTCTGTGACACTATTCAAGTAATTTCAGGCCTCAAAGGGGGCCAATAAAATTTATCCACAAGTGTAAATGTCTTATCCCTACTAAAGTGTACTGTCAAGCCTCCCCCATATAACTCCTAAATCATGAAATCCTTAAGTGAAGTACTGAAAAATACATAGTTGCAACCCTCTAAACAAGTAACCATATCTAGAGAAGAAGTCAATGTACTCATATCAATTACCATCATGAACATCGTGAAAAATGATACCAAAGTCACGGCATATTCTTCTCTAATCCTATCAAATCCAATCACATGGACACTCATAACCTGTAAAATAGTAACTACACGCCTAAAAGCATCCGCAAGCGTAGATGTAGACGTCTTTTGCTATAGTAGGCGTGCACGTAAGAATTATGAGTTATTTGTCATTTTATTTTTTGAGACTTATTTGTCATTTTTGACAATTTATTTGTTTTAGGATTTGTATTCCCTATATTATATATATATATAGAGGATGTGGTATTTATTTAGAAACATTTTGATTATTATTAAATATTGATATTAATTACTCCCCAAGTTCGCTTTCTTTTTTTTCTCTTTTTTTTAATTTTTTTTTTTTGGATTATCTTTCTCTAAGTTTTCTAGGAAAATGACTTACGCTTGGATTATTACTTTCTAAGGGTTTTGCATGCTTTAAATTGATGATTTTCCCATTGCGCTTAAAAATATGGGTATTCTACCTTCCATAGTTTGTCACATCTAGATCAAAAACTAGGGCTGCAACTCGGGCAAATTGAAAGGTCAACCTTAGGTATATAATCTTCAATCCTAACCCTACTTCAACCCGAGGTACTCAACCCGAGTACTGCCTAAGTTTAATTCGGGCGGACTCGAATTACTTAATTCGAGTTAATTTTGGGTTAAAAATCGAGTTGAATTCAGGTTACTTAATTCGGATTAATAAAAAATAGAAGAGTGACGAATGAGAGAGGGAGGCTGAAAGTCTGAGACGACTTAGACGAGTGACAGAGAGAGGCTGAGAATCTGAGACCAGATGAGAGATGAGTGACAAGTTAGAGGGATTTGAGAGTGATAGAGGCGCAGGGGTGAAAATTTAAAGTAAAATGTAAGTCTGGATTATGAAGAATGAAGATAAATACTAACTATAGTTAAATATATTTATTTATTTATGTATGTATATTTGGGTTCAACCCAATTTTAATATTCAGGTTGAACCCGATAACCCAATATCTCAACGTGAAACTTGCCTAAATTCAATTCGGGGTTGGAATTTTTTTGTCCAGGTCCAACCCAAATATTAAAAATTCTAATCTAAGCCTTATTTTTTGGAGTTGGGCTTGAGTTGAATTCGGGTTGGCCCACCTAAGTTGCAACCCTATCAAAAACCAAGGGCGACCTAACAAGACATGGGCTGATTTAAGGTGCAACTGAGCTACAACCGACTTAGAGATGATATTCAATGAACTTCCCCAATCAATGACAGCCTTACAAACTTTAACCCCACATCAAATCAGAGTTTGAGAAATGCTAGTGCAAACAATAGGATTCTGGAGACTGGTGAACAGGGACTCAAATAAGCAATAATTGTGGCTATGCTGATACTGTAACAAAGATTGAGTTTAGGCTCTAGTAACAATTTGATGTAGACGAAGGGGAAGAAGTAGGGGATGGGAAGAGAAGAACAAACGATGAGAAAATTAGAAGAAAGAGAAAGGAATTTGTGGAGCAAGTAATATCAATATTCAATAATAATCAAAGTATTCCTAAACAAATATATATATATATATATATATAATAAATCAGCTAGGTGTTTAAACTTATGGGGAATATATTTTTCCCCCCCAAATTTCACACACCCAACACACTTTTTCCTCCCAAATTTCAAAAACTCAACACACACAGTTGCACATACATACACATATTCCAATACACACATTCCAATGCATGCATAGTATTATAATTTAGTATACAGTGACTTTAGTCACAGGTTATTGTTAGTATATATATATATATAGGGAATACAAACTCTAAAACAAATAATAGTCAAATGACAAATAAGTTCCAAAAAATAAAATGACAAATAACTCATAAACCCTATGTATACACCTACTATAATGAAAGACAATCTGATTCCCATCATTGTGTACACAAGTATTAAAGATACTACCATTGTTATTTTTACCCTTTTAAAATATTGATACAATTCATAAGATACTCAAGGAGACACAAATTCGAAGATGTGAAAGACAATGAAATTGACTTTCCATCGAGATAAAGATCCATAGGGAACCTTGCATTATTATATTTTGAGTCTTATTTTAAGTTAGTTTGAGTCAAAGTATTAGTATTTTATATGTCTTTTTAATAGTTTTTAGACTCAACGGTATTTTTATAATTTCTAGAATTTCTGGAATGGGTCATATTTTTTGATCAAATTCTAGTGTTGAATATTCTAGTATTTAAAGTCCTAATTCTAGTTAATTTTAGTTTTCTAATTTTTAGAGATCTAGAGTTTTTGGAGTACTAGAAACTTTAACATTCTAATCTTTTGGGATATATATATATATAATAAATCAGCTAGGTGTTTAAACTTATGGGGAGTATATTTTTCCCCCCAAATTTCACACACCCAACATACTTTTTCCTCCCAAATTTCAAAAACCGAACACACACACTCCATAACACAGTTCCACATACATACACATATTCCAATACACACATTCCAATGCATGCACAATATTATAATTTAGTGTACAGTGACTTTAGTCACAGGTTATTGCTAGTATATATATATATATAGGGAATACAACTCTATATATAATTAGTGTTACTTTTGATAAAATGTAGAGAGATATTTTAGAAATATCAGCAATTACATGTTTGTTGAGTTGTGTGATGCAATTCTAACCCTAGGTGTGATGCCTAATGATTCCTAACCTATTTTACTATTTATGTTACTGTTCACAACCCCAAAACAGCCCATATTTTGATTTTACACAACTATCCTACATCAAATGTTCAACCACTTCTACACAAGCACTTAATGCCCCATTGTCAAGCTTTATGCTACCCTATTTCATATCTATCCCTGAAAGTTGCATTACAGTCAAAAGCATGACTGCAACATCCATTTGATCATAAAGTTCTTCAATTCTAAGAGTTCATCCTTCAACTAAATGAGATCTTTAGACTCATTCAATAACACAATAGGTTTAAAGTAGACAATCCTTGTGTGTTTTAAAGCACTCAGGCACTCACCTAGGCGATAACGTTAGGTGAGGATTGCATTTATATTCAAGATCTCAGGCAAGGTGAGTGGGCATTGCTTAGGAAAGCACTTGACCTGTTGCATTAGGTAACATGTCTTCAATGAAAAGTTCTACTGAAATGGCCATAGGTAACATTAGCCTAGAGCTAGTAGCGGTATTTGTGAAAACAGGGTACACAAAATAATAAAGAAACTATAGGGACCAACTGCAACCCTCAAATATGAATATGGATAGCATATCAAAGAAGAAAGACACAAATGGTGAGCTAGAACTAGAATCTCAAAGAAAAGTAGAATAAGAATGAGTGAAAACTAGAAGGTACAATGAAGCCATCCCAAAGAAGAAGCAGATGACAGATTCATCATGTCTTGAGTGCCCCTTGTGCCACCCATATGCATTATTGTAGTAAAAGAGCCTGTTGGAATATTCAAGATGTGCGCGTTACGATGAGAAGCATTAATTAGCAGATAATATTTATACCCTTAGATGAGAACTATGTCAACTCACATTACGAGCCACAAGAGCACCCTAGATAGACTTAGGTTCCAAGTAGGGCGATCAGGCACTTTAGTGTTGAGCACGGTTCAAGTCTTTGACACCCCTTCTTGACTAGGGGCAAGTGTGTTTTCCAAAATGATAAAAAACAAAAAAGACCTACGAGATTCGACTCTAATCCAGAACCAATTGATCTTTGCATATATTCCGAATCATGCCAACCTTTTTGGAGCAATAAGCCCTGATTTGGATACAACTCGGCCACGACAATGGCACGACAGCTTTTGAAACTATACTCTAGTAAGATTCCCTTCTCCACTCAGTTAAGTCTGTCACTCATTCTATTATTGCTTCAATAACTCTCCTCGTCTCTTAAACTAAATATAAACGACAAATAGCCTACCTTGAACAACCAAATTTGAACTTTTACTCTTTGCACTAGGATAGCCCTTCCTCCAACTCCCACCTTAAAATCACATGATAGATCACTTAGCAAATGTCTAGCATCTCGCATAAATAAACCTCTCAAGTGGGATTCCGCAAATTAGGCACATCAACATCTTCCACTAACTGTCAATGCACTGTGCTGATCCAATCAAAATTGCAAAGACTATAGCTGCTGTATATCACCTAAATACACCAACTCATTTGAATAGACAATTGGACAACAAACAAAAGTATCCTACTCAAATATGGAAAAGGGAAAGGCAAATAATTATAATAAATCAATCGAAGCACTCTACCCTATGCCATCCATCGACCGCCCTTCACACATCACTGACAAATTCCACGTGCATTAAAATGAAGTAACAAATAAATGGCATTCAAATTGAATTTACCAATGGGAGCACCAAATGCACCCGGAGGCAAGGGATCAAACTCCATTCCAAGAATAGGCCCATCCTCTCTCAATGGCTGCCCTAACTGGGCCTCCACAAAAGCAATAGCTCGAAGTTCAGATATGGCCTGAGGGGGCTCGTAGTACCTCTTCATTGCCGGCATTTCAACTCCAATCCTCGCAACTGCCGTCCCAACTCGTGGGACAACTTTTTGCTGCGTGTCCACATAGCCAAACGGACTTGAACCCGAACCTGAACCCGACAAATGCTCATTCCCAACTTCACCACCCATCACCATGTCTTCCCCAAGTCCACCCGATGAGCCTATCACTGCGGCCGGTGATGCATCCTTCCTCGGCCGCTTCTCTTGAGGCGTCTTCCGGTCCTTCAGCCTCCTGTGACAAAACCACATCTGTAATTGCCGATCTGACAGCCCTAACTTCACCGAAAGCTCCGCTCGCAATGCTTCCGATGGGTAGTTCTCCTCTGCACCAATCCAAATCTCATATCAATCAATTGAAACTATTTAAAAAAAAAAAATAGGCAAAAAAAATTGGCAACTCAAACCAAATATTTTGAACTAAATCAAACTATAAACAACAACAAAAAATTCAAAAAATCATTGAACGAACCAGCATAGGTTTTTTCCAGAATTTCCAACTGAGAAGCAGTCTTCATTTTACGCTTCACTTTGGGCTCTCCTTCCGGCGGCTTCTTCTTCTCTCCCTCCGAACCCCCAACCCCACCACCACAACTAGCACTACCACTAACTCCCTCCATTGCTGAACAATATCAAACCTTTACTTTTCTCCCCCTAAAATCAGCTCATCAAATACACATATTACACAGAGAATCGAACTCTATCGAGCATCCTCCATTGAAGAAAATAAAAAAAAAATTGCCTCTTTCTGAAACAAGGGCTTGCAAAATGGTCGAGAAAAAGAGGCAGAGGTAGAGAGATATTAGGTTTTTGGAATTGACGAAAAGTAGATGAGATTATGCACGCAGTTTCTCTCTCTAAAAGACTTGAGAAACTTGTAGCAAAAACTGTGATGGAGATGTGCGGTGAGATTTGGAGAATACCAAAATATAAATAAATGATTATAAGAAGGAAATGTAAGAAGAAAAAAGAAACGAATAAAACTAATAGAGATTGTGATATTTGATTTAAAGATAAACTACTAAGAAATGAACGAACAGTTTTTCTCTTTGGATTAATCCCACCCATTCTATTCTCTCTCTCTCTCTCCCTCTCACCTTTTTTTCGATTTCTTTTCTTTTATCGAAAACGTTACGCCGAGTGAAAATTATACGAGTGTTTGTATAGGTCAGTCAGTGTGTGTGTGTGTGTGTGTGTTTGGGGTTAGTATAGTCAGATGCTTTGAGATCGAAACGCTTTGATTCACGAACCCTTCTTTCTTTCTCTCTCTTCTTTTTTATTTTCTCTCCCTACATTTATATTCTCTCTCTCACACACACGCATTGTGTGTGTTTCGGTTTAGACTTTGTTCTTGTCTATAGAACATTTCAATCCAATTCAACGTTGGTGTTCATTTCGGACGACGATCGGGTTGACCCTCCCCACTGTCTGGGAAAATTGTTTCCCAATCACAACAGGTGAACGTGTGGTACACGTTCCATCCATGTCATCTGCTCATCTCAATGCCGATGGAGGGCACGCGCCTGGAGAACATGGCATTCAGAATTGTTTTTTTCATATGAATGTCCCTCCAAATGTGGGACCCACTTATTTAAGAAAAACATGAACAATTTTTTTTTTTTTTTTACCTACGAGATTTGAGCATAATAAACCGGAATTCAAATCTCATGCATTATGCTTTTTTCACGATTTTCTTTTTCACATATCATTTATCATTAATGAAGGATAAATTTACTTGTATACTTAAATATGTAATTAATAATTTAAACAATTAAAATATATATATATATATAAGAGAAAAGTTTACTCTATTAAACTGATATATAAAAAATGTAAAATTAATAAACTAAGTTTAATATAGTAAATTGTAATAATAAAGGAATGCGATCATTCATTTGTTAAAAAATTTATAATATAAAACAGAAAAAACTTTAATAAATTAATCTGACGATTTTAAATAAATTCATCCAACGGCCACCAATATCTCTCTTAAACTTTCACCGTGCCTTTACACCTAATAAGTGTATAACTTATCACAAAATTGTCAATTATATCTTCTACATGCTATAAACTTGGTACAATGCGAACCGATTATTCACAAATAAATAAATATAAAGTGAATAAATTATACAATAATATTATTTAAACTTAATTTATTAATATAATTTGTTGATTTAGTTCATCATATTTATTGATTGGATTGGTTGTGAATCTCAACAAATAGTAAGACCAACTATCAATCTAATGCTCTGTTTGATAGGAATGATGGAAAATAATGCTCCGTTTGATAGGAATGATGAAAAGTAAAAGAGATACATTTTCTATCCTTCAAGAAAGGAAAGTATGAATGATACATTTTTTTTCCTTTGTGTTTGGTTGGATGGATGAAAAATAAAAATGACTATTTTTTTTTTTTTTGCGTTGGCTAAGATTAGGGGTGACAATCGAGTCGTATCGTATCAGATTCGTGTTGAGTCATTACGGGTTTATGTCCAACATTAGTTACACCTAACTCAACTCATTTAACTAATTGTGTCGTATCAAGTTTCGAGTTGACATGTTTATTTTCGTGTTCGTGTTCGAGTTAATCAAGTTCGAGTCAATCAAGTTTGTGTCTAGTTCGAGTCATGTGATTGTGTTATTTAAAATTTTCACCACTAATTAAAATGGAAAATATTTTTTTAATTTAAATTTTTTATTATTTTTTATTTTTTATTTTAAAATTTTTTTAAAATATATATATACACATATTTTATCATTATATTTTTATATGAAATTAATATATACATAATATACGTATAAATAAAAAGATATATAGACAAATAAGATACATCTCAACATAAATAATTAATTTTGCATTCACTTTCTGTCCGATTTTGGAGAGATTGATTTTAGTGAGTTGGAAGGAAAGTTAATACATCCACTTTTTCATCATTCTTATTTTTTTTCCTTACCAAGCATGATGTTTTATTTATTCCTCCAATTTTTCATCCTTCTAACTTTTCATCATTCCATTTTTTTATCGTATCGAACGGAGCATAAGAGGGATACACTTTCTTTCCTTCAATGATGGAAAATAAGAATGATACACTTTCCTTCTTTGTGTTTGATTGGATGGATGGAAAATAAAAATTACTAAATTTTTTAAAAAAAAATTTTGTGCTGGCTAAGATTAGAGATGATAATTAAGTCGTGTCGTGTTAGATTCGTGTTGAGTTATAAAATTATGAGCCTTGTATATTTTTTGTTCGTGTGTCAGGTCATTTTCAAGTTCGTGTCGAATTACAATCAAGTTTGTGTCATAAAATTCGTATCAAGTTTGAATTGTGTCATCATGTTTAGTCAAAAATTTTCACCCCTAGTTAAGATGAATTAATATTTTTTTATTTTTTATTTTTATTGTTATTATTTTATTTAATTTATTTTTTATTATATATATATATATATATACATATTTTATCATTGTATTTTTATATGAAATTAATGTATACATAATATATAGACAAATAAGATACATTTCAACACAAATAATTAACTTTTCATCCACTTTCTGTCCGATTTTGGAGGGATTGATTTTAGTCAGTTTAATGGAAAGTTAATCATCCACTTTTCATCCTTCTTACTTTCTCTCTTCACCAAACATGATGCTTTATTTATTCTTCCAACTTTTCATCCTCGTACTTTTTTATCGTACCAAATGGAGTATAATAGTTATGAACAATTAAATTAATAAATTAAATCTAAATAATATTTTTCTAAATTATAATACAATATGATTTAAATACCATAGGAATTCGAGACCGTATAATTCATTTTTTTTTCTTAGCTCAACGATTAGAGATATGTGGGTCAATTTATAAACACTTGGTTTAATCCCCTCCTTGGTCTATTCAAAGACAAACCATGTTTGAGTTTTTTTTTTTTTTGAAGAAACAATTGTGAGTTAAATTTTTCAGCATCTAAAATTTTGGGCAATAGTAATGTTTCGAGTTGAACTTTCAGCAACTGAATAAGTGGGTGAGCTTAAAGCCACATGACCTAATTGTCCTATAATCTTGTATTTAGCTGGACAAGTGGTCCATTAATTCAGAATCATGAATACATACCCACTTTTGGGGATTTTGTATAATAATATAAAGAAGTTATTGAACTGACAGGGAGATGATAACATGAAAGAATGTGAACATTTTCTCCTTCCAAAGGTTTTAGTCTCCTCTATTTCATTTTCCTTTTTCCATTTCTGTCCATGCCACTTACCTACTATTGGTTTAAATGGAGGAAAATGCAATAGGGTGCTTGAGATTTTTTAAGTTTTTATTAATTATAAGGTATGCAAGTCTATGATATTTTTGAGAATGACCCCAAATAAAAAAAAAAAATTCAAGACCTATAATTAAACATGTATCCGTAGCTAAATGAGTGAAGCCATACCCATCTTTCAACCCATGCTAGCCGTTTTAAATAATTTAGCAACTTCATATTCATAAGTCGAAACTTTTAAATGATATTGTTATCGATAGGCTAATTGGTCATTGACGGCATCACAACTATTCATCTCATGCAATGTTCTATAAGTTCATCCGATGATATCAAATAAACTCATCCAACTATCACTAACATTCATTTCAAAATTATACACATTTTATCGTATTTTCAGACATAGTTTACCCTAGTGATTAGATAAAACTTAGCTGCTGGTGAATACACAAGTGTTCATAGTTGCTACTAGGATCCAGTTGCTATGACTCAAATTTGATTATTGGGTGCTCTCCAAGAAATTGTCACCAAGCTACAATTTCATTTACTATGGTGCAACAATTTAGATCTTGATCAGCAAGCCTACTATGAGGCAACCTGTAGGTTAATATAGCCTCAGCTCAAACGGAGATTTAGCCCCTACCATATAGTTGGAACTCCAAAAGATTTATGGTGACCAGTTTTGAATGGATAGCCCAATAGTCTGATCTGGCCCGGGCCTAAGCAGTTTTCCAGCCTTGCTTGCTGACCCTTACGGCTGCAACTGGAACATGAATACCCTTACAGTCGTTTGGTTGTCGTATTATGGGGATAAATTATTGTATCGGATTAAAATTGGTCTAATTGTGTCTTATACTATGTTTATTAGTTAAAATTGTATAGTACTATTTTAAATTCATATATCAATCGTATATTTTTAATACTCTACATCCGTACTAATAGGTCTATTTCAATACTACCAATAGATATGGTCTTATAATTCAAGTGGGATGTATTATATTTCAAATTATTTTTATATCCCCGTAACCTTATAATCTCCTGCTTTTCTCCTCCTCTTACGCATGTCTCTCACTCCCACTACGACTATTTTATGCAGAGGACTTGGGTTTCTCTTCTTCAACAAAATTCAAACAAAGATTGAGGTTAAATTGTATGTAGTCATATATTTTGTCCATATATATGATATTAGAATGTATTATCTCATACAATCTTTTTTTCATTAATATGACAACCAAAAGACCCTTAAAAAATATGACGCTATGTTGCTTGAGTATCATGGGATAGAATAAACTGATCCTAGGGATTCAGAGAAAGTTATTTTAGTTTATCATGCAGTTAAGGACAAATCGGCCCTCATAAAGTAGCAGCGGACAATGCAAAAAAACTACGTCTACTAAGTATGGCATCAGGGAGAGGGGATAATGAATGGTGGGTTGAGACTAGAGGTGCAACTTGGGCGGACTAATTCGATTTTTACTCAAACCCGACCCAAAAAAATTAAGGCTTGGACTAGGGTTTTTAATACTTTGATTGG